AAAGACTAAGGAAGAGCAAGAAAGCGAAAAGAAAGAAGGAGGCTACATCGGAGAGGAAAAAGAGGAAACTGGAGAAACCAAAATAGAAATAAAATAAAAAAGAAAAGAAAACGCAGAAAGATAAAGTGGAAGAAGAAAGGACCGAAACAAAGAACAAGGCAAGCAAAGAAAAGAAAAGATGGAGGGATCAGAAGAATATAATAAAGAAAGGGGTAGAAGATTCGAGATCGGCAAAAAAATCACAAAAAATACCTCATCAAAATTGCATTTCAAAATTCAGCATTAAATGCCAAAATCTCACCAACCCCCGTGGAGGCAAGAATTGCAAATCACCAATACAAGGTCACAAATAAAAGGGGGACACGTGTCAAAGAACCTGCAAAGGAAATATGCCTACACCAGCAAAGAAATCTGGAAGAAAATACAAATAAAGAAATCACGGCACCTACGCAGCATATGAAAGATCGACAAAAAGCATACCAAAAGTTGTGAATACAAAGAAAAAACTTGTACTGTATTCTTTTTTTTTTAAGCTAATTTTTTATCCCACAAGATTTTTATTAACTAAGGTTTTTAACGAGACAATTATGGTCACAAAATCTTTGCCATAAAAAGATGGAACCTTTTAAAAGCAAAGATATGAAAAAGCTATGCACAATTTAGAGTCAAGTTACAAATAGCAAAAACCAATGTGAAGATGTGACTCAATAAGTTTTTGTTACCCTCAAACTTTTTCATTGGGGAACAAATGTTATACCCTAAATCAAGTCCTATGAGAATTAGGACATGTGGAGACATTTTAAAGATGATCTTATCAAAGTTGAGTAGGATAAATCTCACTAGAATAAGAATACTTCAAACACCAATTAAATAAAATTGTATTCTTAAAATAAATGTATTTAAATATTCTATAAATACCTCAAGTATTAACCTAAGGAGGTAGATTATTTTTCATCTCTATTTTCTCTTCATTGTAAACTCTCTCTATCAATAGAGATCTTGGTTCCACACCATATATTCTATTTTTTAGTGTTAACACCCTCCATAACAAATATGAGCGATCTAGAAATTGTCATGCAATCCTTGTAGGGAGGTGTAAAGAGTAACAAAAGTAGAAAGAACATAACCATGAGTTTCCTGAGTTACAAGACATTCCCAACTATTATGCCAAACTTTAGTGTAAAGAGGGTAATTTAGCAAACTACTATCCTCAACCATTGAATGTTGAACCGAATAGGAGAGGTACTAGTGTCGAGGAGAGCTGGAGGAGAGTTTGAGTCTCCTTCAAGGGCCACCTAAGCCATGCTCAAATTGTCCCAAATGAGAGTTACCGCCATGTTATTGTCCTGTTCAACCTAGGGCAAAATCCAAAGAAAATCACCAAGAGAGCCTAAGCAAAAATTCCTTAAAGAGGGGCTAAGAAAATCTCCAAAAGAAGAGAGAAACATCAAATAGGGAGAAACTTACTTTTATTCATCTTCCAAAGCCATCGAGGGAGAGTGAGGCTATGGTTAGGGACAAAAGATGAAGAAAAGAGGGCTATAATTATGAAAGAAATGAGAGAGAGACGCTAGGGTTAGGAGAGTGAAAAAATCTATAGAAAAACAAGTTGAATCATGTAAATTGTGTGTTATTTCTTTTCTTTATCGACACAAACACTTACATAGTGAAAAATCTCAAAGAAATGACACTGTTTTCATTTCAAAATAACTTAATTGTTTTATTTTTTCTTCAAATTAAGAATTTAAAGACAATTTATATATTTACTTTTATTATTTTTAAAAAATTGTTGTGATAAGATAAATAATTAAAGTAAGTAAATAACGATATGATTAAAATAAAAAAGATAATTGTATATTTTAAAAAATAAAAAATAATAATTAATTTAAAATAAATTTAAAATAAAAATAATAATTATTTTAAAATAAAGCAAATAGTAGACATGTTGGTATGCTTTTTCCGTCGTGGTAGGATGCAAAGCGCGCGGTTTGATGAAGTATGAGGTTGAGTTGTTTAACGAGGAGTCACATTGTCCCATGGCAAAGCACAGTAAAGGATGTATTTATTTGTTAAGGACTTCAGCTCTAGAGTAGAGCAAACATGAAGTTAAAAAATAGCAAATCAATTCGATGAGCGCTTGCATTACAGGTAGAATGCCATACTCAATCAAATTTTGAGGACTACTTCTAGAAATATTTAGGAAAAATTTTAGAATATAAATATGTATTTTAGGTTGCCTCTTTTTACTTGAAAATTAATTATAAAAAATATACATCTACTTATATAACATAATTTCATACCATGTGAAATATTGTAAGAGAATATTATACCATCATAATATTATCATGGGAGGTAAAATGAAAGGGGTAAAATGAAACACAGTGAAAAGGGTAACAAAGGATCACAAGGTGGAGACGGGCAGTTCGGATTGATGAGAATAAGGGTGAAAGGCATCGGACATAAGGCGAATAGCAAATGGGAGGTGATGAGGCTTATGATAACCCTCATCATCGTCACGTCGTTTTCATTTGCTACTCCCCATGT